CGGTTGCCATTGTCCAACCCAGATACGGCAATCTCCGGACTGCGCACGCGCTATTCCAACCTGGTCAAGATGGCGGATCAATTACCGGAGCACACCACTATACAGACCCCAGAGTCGCTTGATATAGACGCGATCATCGGCACACTTCCAACGGAATTCGGAAGCAACGAAAAGCCCCGCGAAGACATCGGATCAGAGACCCCTCAAGGGACCGAGAATGGCCAGGACTCGGACCAGACAACACCCTCCAACGAGTTATCAATCAACAAAACCGCCTTTGCGCTTGCCTTGTTCGGCTGGGATAGTGTCCCAGATGGGACAGCTGGTCTGGCGGGCTGCAGTGTGTGTTTCCGACGGTTGGGTCTGTGGATGTACAAACCGAAGGCCAACGGGACTGCTGCTCTTTACGGTTCGCTTGATGTGATCATCGAACACATGGAATATTGCCCATGGGTCAACGGAACCGCTCAGAGCGGGACCGGACGTGCGTCCGAGAAGCCGGAGAACCTTCGATGCGGGTGGCAGCTCTTGAGCCAGGCGCTCCAGGTACGGCATCGCCGCCAAGTTCGATCGACTGTTTCTGTTTCAAGTCGTGCGCCATCTGAGGCTCCTTCGACGGACGAGCTGGTAGTTGACGACAGCAACCCAGAAGCCAAAAAGGCTCGTGATCGCGAATGGTGGGCCAAACTTCGGCGCATGCGACAAGTGCTGAATGTCAAGTCTCCTCGGAAAAAGTCCGTTTCTCAGTAACTCGATTACTCCGCTTTATACCATTCTCCTTTCCTTATGTATCAACCCGCCTATTACATCTTTTATGCAGCGTGGCGTTTACGGCATTTGTATGCATAGGTCTTTTGTTCTTCATGGTTTACCAGTGACATATTGTTTCATTATGGGCAGAGCGAAGAAAGCATCATGATATAGGCAGGGAACAATGAGTTCAATGCTGGCACAAGATGCAAGCGAATCCCTAGCAATTTCTCTTTTCTACAGCGGAGCGATAACTGATGGGTGGGAGCATGTGATGCTACGAAACGGCTTGTGTTATCATTATTGAGTATACCGTGACAAACAGGTTCGATGATGTGGCCCGAGTGACAAAGAGATACTTTTCGACGAGTAATTTCCATATCAATCTGAAATGTGGCCTTGTGCTGGGCCTTGAAAGTTGTAGAATGTTTATACTTGGTAGTGTCTCATGCTTTGCACTAACTAGGTACGTACAGTACGGTGCCTAGACTAGAGCTAATCGGGCGGGATGTTTTGTCCTGAGGCATCGACAGCTTCCGTCGCCTTCCCCGGAATCAGACCCGTTTTGTCATTCCAGTTCATGACTTCTTCTTGATCAAGTCCACAATGGAGGGGGCTGTATATGGTGCGACCTCAATTAAACGATTCATAAAGCAAGTTCCGTCACTCGGACTCCTGGCTGAACCAAAGTCTGGCTCATGAGCACCAGCCACTTCTAGGATAGAGGAGGAAGAAAGACCTCACATACCAACCATGAATCATGAAGAAGCTCGGCAAGCCGAGCTCGCCTCCAGACGAGCGCCATCACAGCCACATCCCCAGAAGCCTAAAGTCAGGTTAAGTTGTGAAACCTGTCGTCAACGAAAAGTCAAATGCGACAAGCTCGACCCTTGTACCAACTGTCAACGGTTAGGGACAAGGTGCGTCCCCGTCGAGCGCGCGCGTCTGCCCCGTGGAAGATCGGGAAGACTAGCTTCCGAGCGGTCCAACTACGACCCGGATGCGAACCTAAAGAACCGCGTCGCTAAGCTGGAGGACATCATCCGAGGCCTAGTTCGGAGTGGCTATAGCTTCTCCCCTCGAGCTACTCCTCCTGTCCCTGATGCGCCCACTGCTGGAGATGATCCGCCCCCCAATGATCGGCCTGGGCCGAGCGTGGACCCGCGCAGCGATGATGATGATGATGATGATGATGATGACGCCTCGGAAGACTCGGACGGTAGGGCGCACACACCAGATAGCTACCTGGGATCTTCATTCTGGGCTAATCTCCTGAATGAGGTGAGTCTTTCATGAAATCTCGGTTCCCAGACGTGACTAGCTGGTTGTCAGTCCAATTGACGCACTACCGGATACAGGTGCCCGAACTGCATCCCAATGATGAGCGCAGTACGAGAGAAGGGAGCCGCAAGGCTGCAGATAACCAGCTGAAGATGTATCGACGACTGCTGGCTACGGCAAGTCGGCAGCATGGTTCAACCTCTGGAGAACAGCTGAGCCCTTCAAAGTATGCCCAGCAACAGCTCTGCCGGGTCTTTCTCGAAAGAGTGGACCCTGTCGTCAAGATACTGCATAGACCTTCCCTCTGTGCGTTCCTCTTGGAAGGGAAACCTTATCTAGATTATGAACCTGAACATTTGGCTCCAACCGCTCTTGCATCTGCTGTGTACTATGCAGCCTCGTGCAGCCTGTCAGAAGATGAATGCACACGCGCATTCGGTGTACCCAGAGCATCCTTGATAGTGGGATACCAAAGGGATGTGGAACTAGCTCTAGGGCGCGCAGATTATCTTACTACGAATGATCTGACGGTTTTGCAAGCATTTGTTCTTTTCCTGGTACGTCTCGGGTCCTTGAACGCGATGTTTATCAGATGCTATCTAGAGTATAATCTGACCTGTTGAAAGGTGTCACTCCGATCGCAAGATCAAAGCCGTCGAATGTGGACACTGCTTGCCATGGCCTTGCGCATTTCACAAGCCCAGTCGCTTCATCTGCCTAACCCACCGTTCACAGTCCGACCTTTCGAACGCGAACTTCGCCAGCGTCTCTGGCAAGCGATCGGCTTCCTTGACATTTTAGCCTCGATGGACCGTGATACTGAGCCCATGATGCAGGCGCAATGGCTGCAATCCCACCCTCCCCGTCACGTCAATGACGAAGACATCTCCTTCGACATGCAAGAAAGCCCCGTTGATTCTCCCGGCTTTACCGACATGACTTTCACTATGATTGTCGGCAAGGCCCATATAATCACCAGACTTCTAAACTTCTCTGATTTCACCGAGCCATCAGTGAGCACCCTCGCCCTCCGCCAACAGCTCGTCGTCGAATTCCAACACACCGCTTCCAAGTTACTTCATCATGCCCAACTAGACAAGAATCCTTTCAGTTGGTTCACCCGCTTAGTCGCGGAGGGGATCTATGCTTGCTTGCAACTCATTGTCATCCGGCCCCTCAAGCGCACGCCGCGCTTCACGCCTCCGCACGTCCAGGGCGACCGTCTCATCGAGTTCGCCGTCAACGTTCTCCAGAATTACCATTCTCTTCGGGACGATCCTCGCACCGTACCGTGGCTCTGGGTGGAGTTCGCTTTCCCGCCGTGGCACGGCCTGGCAGTAGCCGTCGCGGAGCTCTGTGTTTGCGAAGACAGGGCGGTCATGGAGAGATTCTGGCCTACGGTTGAGCAGACCTTCAACCGATTGGGCCGGCTCGTTGCTGATTCGAAGCGTGGGATGCTCTGGAAGCCCATGGAAAGAATCATGGCTCAGGCGCGCGCTAGGAGAGTTCAGTTGCTCGCTGCTTCAGCCCCCACCTCCACCCTTTATACATGCCCCTCTTCCTCATCACCATCTTCTTCTCACCGACCATACCAACCGCAGATCTCCTCTTCTGCTACTCTGTACGACTCGGAGGCACCGCAGCAGCAGCAGCAGCAGCAGCAGCAGCAGCAACAGCAGCCGCCGCCGCAACAACCGCCACCAGTCTTCACCTCAAACTTACCCTCTCAAAGCGCACAGCAACCACCACACCAGGGCCCACCCGCTCCAGTCGATGCCATGGCTGCCTTAGACACCCCCGAAAGCCTGGAGAACGCCGCCTCCTGGCCCAGTGTCTGGGATGCCGTTGATCTGGGGTACGCAAACTCCGCCAACGAGACGACCGCCTGGATGAACTACGAGAACTTCCTCACGGACATATATTTCTTGCCAGGTCTACGGTGATGGTCGTAACATAAATAACTGTATATCGGCTCAAGAACAAGCGATGATAGACCAAGAATACCAATTCCTCACTCCTTCTTACCTGCACATCTCCACTGGTTCCACAAATCACATTCCAAGGACGTACATCTGACTCTGTATCTTTTTTTAAAGTAAATCGTGCGAAAGAACAGATTATCGTCTAGTATTTCCACTCCTCAACGACGCACGCCTACCAATCCGTGACCGTCTGTAGTATACATCAATCACTAGCTAATTTGTCAAGAGAAAAAAAGAAAATGCGAGATGAGAACCACCACCCATGACCTGCAGGTCAAAGCAAGGAGAAGGGGAAATCCTGAGGGAGAAAGGAAATTGAGCCGTGTACAGTGTGATATACTTCATCGCAAGAGAGAAGGGGGTAAGTCAGAATAAAAAGAAAAAAAGCAAGCCCAGATTCTCCAAGTTCATGTTTCTCCGTACTGAAATGGTAAAAAGTATGGGAAAAGAATTCTACTACCCTCGTAAAAGCCGACCTAGTAGATCAGAACCGCCACCCGCCCGAGACGCCAGATAGTCATTCCGAAGTATAGTACCATGGTCCCCCCTATGACTCCCATTTTTCCCAGTCCGTTGTCGAACTTGTCGAGGGAAGACGCCCATCTTTCTCACTCTTGGGTGAGTGGATAAGTGAGGTGAAGCAGTACTGAATGGGAAAGGGAAAGAGAGAGGAATCGGATACACTTCAAAGAGAACACACTAAGTTTTAGTATGAAGAAATACTGAAAATGAAGAACTGTGATGAAGGACACGAAGCCAGGGTATTTGTACAAAAACCAAGATAGCGAGAAGAAGCGACGGGACAGACCCACGGAAAGATAAGGGGATTAGAGAAAAGACACTGATAGAATGAAGAGATAAGGGGGAAAGAAAAATAGATGTGATAATATAGCACCTTGTCATATAGTAGCAGAAGAGAAGAGAAAGATATCAATCCTCGAATCGTCGCGGGCGGAGCCGAAACATGTAGGTTACTTCATCATCGTGACACAAGGGGGCAAGAAGGGGAAAAAGGGTTGTGTTCATTTTCTCTTCTTGTTTGTTCTGTTTGGTTTTCTTCTTTTTTCCTCTTCAATAGTAATCTTCCTTCTCGATCAACATGATCAATTCCGTGAGCTCCTTGCGCAGCGACCGGTTTCGATCCCATACCTCCACGATCTTCGGGCGGTGACTCAAGAAGACAGCTTTCTTCCAGGGAAGTCCATTGTATTTCTGGACGACGCCGCTGGGAAGGTTGCGGGCAATGTTGCGAAGGACCAAGGCGGCTTTGTACGCAACCCCAACGGGCTCGCCGCGCTCACTGACTGGGGTGTTGAGGTAGAACCATTTGCGCACAATGCGCTCTTGGAGCACCACCCTCTTGGAAACGGGAGCCTCTGCGTCTGCGGGACGTTCTTCGGGGAGGTGGGAGGCGACGTGGCCAGCGACCGCGGCGGTGTTCGCGCTGGCGCTAGAGCCGCGGAATCTCGTGCAGTTTTCCCAAAAGCAAGTGTGGATAGCCGATTGGGCATTGTCCAGGTTGTAGTGGCCCGGTGTCTCGGTGCGCTTGAGGTTCATATGATCGGCAAATACGTGGTTGCGGAGGTCCGTCGGGGTAGAGAACGCACGCTGGCAGGTTTTGGTGGGTTTGGAGTCGTCGGCCCACTTGCAGTAGATGTAAGGGAAGCCCTGGAAGGTGTACGCTGTCTCCAGTGGGCGGATGCCCTTGATGATGAATCGAGTGGAGGAGCCGGGGCCATTAATGACTTGTGCTTGAGCGTTCGTGAAAGTCGTGCTCACATTCTTGATGAACTCGGCCGCAGGGAGGACACCACCTCCCGGTACGCGAGGATCAGCGAACCGGCTCTGGTAAGCCTGCCAGAGGGCGATCTGTGTGATCTCGCATTCCGGGTCCTCAACGAAGCAGCACCTTAGCCAGCGTGAGCTACGCTCAGGCTCTGATAATTCCATCAGATCCTTCAGAAGCTCAGACGGCACACGAGGAATCTCAGATGGCGGTGGTGCAACCTTCTCATCTTGTAGAACGGTTTCCATCTTGGTGGCTCGGGCTTCGTACGTCAGTAGTGCGATCATGCGCGGAACGAAGATGCTGGGGAAATCGAAAACATCGAGCATGGTCTCGATATTCTCGCTTGAAAGAGTGTATTGATACCAGAAGTCCAAGGCACCGCTCAAAATATCTTTATCCAAATCGAGAAGCGTGTGGAAGTATAGTTGCTGCAGGGATTGTTTGGGCATGCGCTCCATGGCCCGGTTGCCTTCTGGTTCATCGATCTCAGTTGAAAAGTGCGTCAATGCCCACAGAGCCCGCACTACATGAGCACGATCAGGAGACTCTAGGCATCTGAGCAAAGAGATCCAAAGTGGATCTTCCGGGTCAGTCCGCATGAACTTTGTCACCTCCTCTGCGATATCCAAGGCATCATTTCTGATTTCGTTCAGGCGTGGTTGGTCTGGGAGGTTGATCAGAATCACCAGGAAATCTCTAAGAAGGCCTTTGGCATAACGCGAGACATAGAATGCATTTTCCTTGAGTAGTACCATGTTCCGGAGTACCAGAGTTGCCTCTTTGACGTTTCGTAGACGATGATTGAACTCATATGTCTCCAGAGTGTCCTTCGGTAATGTAACGGGGATATGTTTGATTCTCTCGAGTATATCGCGTGTGCCATATAGTGAATTGAGCACATTGACGCGGGCCATAGGCTCACGGAAGTCGTACTGGAGCTCCCACTTGACCCCTGCGACAAGAAGCGATACATCTAGAGCCTTCTCCATCAAGGTTTCCGCTAACAATGGGAAGCCCTCGAATTTGAACTTGTCCCAGCGCTGATTGGATATTTGAACAAGGTGAAATAGCGCAAAGTCAACTTCGTCCGGAACGCCTGATTGCAGTCCATAATGCGCACGCTTGTAAATGTGATCAGCTGAGCAGACGAGTTAGTTGACGTAAATGAGTTGAGGAACAGCTGCCAGCGATGAACACTTACACTTCGGGACCTCTAGATATCTGAGGGGGAAGTAAGGATCGTAAAAGTCGGGTTGTTTGACTGTTTTGCCATGCATACTGAGAAACAGACCTGGTCTGTTACCCGGGGTTGCAACTTCGCGTGTGTTCATAGGCACCTTTTGATCCCTTCCTTCCCAGTTCTCGTTCGAGGGCGGGGCGTTGTTCACAGTCGGTGCGGGTGAGTTGGAATGACTCAAGGTCAGAGGAACGGGCTGTGGTGACTGATTTGCGTGGATTACATGTGAGCGTCTAGCGGGGGTAGTGTCGGGGATGAAGGGCTGATTTGCTTTGGGAGCCTGCCGCAAACCCTCTGTGCTTTGTTAGTCCGAGCTTCTCGACCGTAAATGGAAGGACTTCGTCAAGAAAGCACTTGCCTCGAAGGGATGTGCGGGGAGTTTGAGTGGACATCTTGAGCTTGCTTTACAGCACGCCTGGGCCCTTGGACCTGTGTTTCCGGGGAGTTCGCAATCCGTTTGTTTGTTTCTTAACCTTCGCGTGTTGTCTTTGACTGATTCCAATTGAGGATCAAGGTTGGCGCGATTGAGCCGGGATACTGCCAAGATCCCCGCAAGAGCTCAAGCGCCAGAACCTCCAGGTCAAAAGGCGAGGTGTGGGTGAGTGTGAAAGCACACCGTCCGTGCCTTTAGAGCCCTTCTGCGGCCTTCTGTGCCTTTCCTGGTCGCCCTGTAATAATTCCCTATCGTATGAATGGTCTTCAAAATATCGCGTGGCGGGATCGGGCGCGCTCCAGTTTTGTTTCAAAGTTGGCTTGCTGGAATTGATGAACGGTTCGGCCGATGATCTGGAAGCTTGGACGCGATATGAAGCTAACGGAGACAGTCTGCTTGAAGCCGAAGAGGATGCGATGGCGGCACAACAACACAAGACGTTCGCGATAGACGTTCTGGTGAAATATCTGGGAGATATTGCTGCGCAATAAATGGGATTATATTGGCGAATAGTGTGCCTTAAGACGGAGAATCAATTCCTATGCTGGAGCCCAAGGGGGGCTATGTGAATGTAGAGACAAGCTGAACCTGCGATCGAAGCGTCCTGCCATCCACAGGCAAAAGTCCGCGCTGCTCCTACTGGCCTCAGGCGCGTGCGCGGATCATTCATCGGGCCGACTTGCCGCTCTCCCATGGTGTTTGACCTGTTTGTGATTCTGCTGAGTCAGCCTTTCTGTCTTAGATGTCAGGCATGACATTTGCTGGCTTCAGAACTGTCTCGAGAGAGATTCGTCCTCAGCATATAGAATTAGAAGAAAGCTGTCCATCATGAGGATCTCTCCATTCAAGATGCACGCTGCCTTCTTTCGTATTGACCTCTGTTCTTTCTCAAAGTCAAGGTCTATAACATGAAGCTGCTCAAGATTTAAGCAGAACCTGTGACCATGTTCTGACTTTATCACTCAACATCTGTCAGATGCAATTCGAACTGAATTAGGATAGCCTAACCAGTACTTTGCCAGACCGGGGATGGGCGTCTTTTCGGATGGCGGCTTCTCACAACCTACATAGTATTTGAGTCTCCCTGATCACCTGTTCATATTCTTTGTCGCCCCCTCGAAGCATTGACTACAGATTCATCAACTCTACTTCCCAACATCTTAAGCCCAAATCAAAACTCATCATTTGAACTCTTCATGCCGTAAAGATTATGCATAATTATAGTTCACAGCCACTTCCAGATACCCCTCTTGCCCGTCTATCCTTAGCCAAGTTCTCCCATGTCACCACATCGTTGAGCCACAGAGGCCCATTGAACTGGGGTCATATCATAGGGAACAATGATCTCACAGCCACTTTCGAGAAGCCCCGGGCCACGAACAGTTTGTCTGGGAATAGTATCGTGCTAAGGATCTTTCGTTTCCACGATACCATGGTGAGACTCCGCCAGCGCTACCCTTTTACAAGCTTCATGCTAAGTGATGTATGACTAGGAAGAGCTCGATCTCTCCTTCTTTGCTATGGCCGCCACAAAGACCCCATCTCAGCCTGCCCAGGGTCAAGCATCGAAGCCATCATTCGCCGTCGTCGTGAAGCTACCCTGTCTGGCAGTGAAATATCCTCGCGGAAACATGGTAGGAGTCGATTCTTCAGCTCCGCACATACAACCAACGATCAAGCCTGACCTGCGCACAGATCCGCCGCTTTCAGATCAAATTCTCAGCCGAAAAGGACTACTATGCAGCTCTAGCCATCCTCAGCGAGATAAATTGCCCATTTTCAGAAGCTAGTCCTGCCCCCATACACAAACAGACCTCCTCGCAGTGGAACACAGGATCCTTCAGACCTAGCTCCATGTCAAGTGAGCCGACAGTACCAAATACTATAATACCTCCCAACAACGGTGTTGGTTTCCCTGTGTATGCACCAGGCACATATGCTCGTCTACCAATGCCAAGCGTCACGGCAGGTATTGCTCCCCACAGATCATGTCAATTAGATAGTTTGTGGTTAATGAGAGGCTCCAGGCACATCGATAACGTCCGCATCTTCGTCCAGCCTAGGCACCAGCCATCAGTACCAAGCGACAAGTACACCCAGCAGTCTCGCCAAGTACATGTATACAGACAGCAACCGTACGCAGTCCCTCAATGGCCAATGCCCACCCTCTGCCCTACAGGTCCACGGCACCTCGGAGGCTGACCCGTCCAGACCTTCCACTGCCACTTTGCCCCTGGAGACAGCGAACCTGGACCCGCCTCCCGTGAGGGTTCTTCCATTTTCCAGACCGCTCATGAAGAGGACTCACACAATCGCCACGACCGGCATCCCCGCTGGAAATGTGGCAGCATTTGGAAGCACAGGTGAATATCTCCGACGCGCGCGGTCTGAAACTCAACTCCCATGGAAATCATCTCTAACTTCAGTATACAGTGTCTAGAGCCTACCCAGAACTAGCCCCTGCAAACAAGACACAACCTACTCCATCACCGCACCCCCTAACTCAGGCTGAAACTCCCCGAATCACCGTCCTGAAGTACTCGAACCCAGCCGCGCAAGTCCCAGCCCCAGCAGCTAACCCAGGCGGGTCCCAGCCAGTCCCTAGAGTCCCCTTACCCCCTTTGCCCTCCTATTCAAGCCTCATCACCACCGCAAGCAACGAGCAGCAGCCAGCCACCTCCTGTGACCAGCACCAGAAGCACTATCCTCTTGAATCAGTCATAAACAACATCCCCACCATCACAACAGCGGGAGCACCGCAGCAAGAGCCACTCCAGGAACAACAACAGCAGCAGACACAGCAGCAGCAGACCATACCACTCCCGACCCCGGAAGATCTCGCATCGTATAGTTCAGCATTCACGACGGAGCGCATGCAACTCGTTGAGTCCTGGATCTGTCGCCACGTAGAAGACGATGCCTTCCTCAAGCTTTGTGAGGATGTGGAGGGTGTATGGCAGCGAATGAAGTTGGGGACGGGCAAAGGAGGTACGTGATTTGGGCTGGTGGAATTTCCCTCTCGATACCTTGCTATTCTTCTTGTTTCTTGTTCATCTTTCGCGCGACTGTTTCAAGGTTTCGTCGACCCTTTCGTGTTCCTTCTATTTCACAGAGATGTTGTTGACGTGAAGCATGAAATGCCGCGATGTTGCTATATTATCTCACGGGCCGTCGGGTTGTGGAGGGAATATCTTGTTTGATCTCACAATATTACTACCGACTAGGGCAAGAAGTAATGGAAAGAAGCGTAGGAATGCAGGCAAAGCATGCTTTGTAATGAATAGAATTCCACCTAAAGATACACGATCGCGGCAAATAGCACCATGTTGACTGCCTCGCGAAATTGCTAGATTAAAAGCCAATGGTTCTGAAATCAACAGCAATGCTTTCAGTTTTGAAGAAGTAAAAGTGGATGGGAGAAGAGAAGACGTTTCCAGCTCAAGATACAATGACACAAGTAGATAAAAGTTCCGAGATATAGCAATACCCGGTAAGTAACAGTTCTAGAGAATTGAGGGTGCTTTACCGGGATCGATGATAGATCAAGCCAGCAAAGACGTTCAGGTAGCCTTCTCTCGTGAGGAGGGTGAAGTCCACAACCATACGACCTTGGGGTTGCGCGCCAGAAGCCAGATTGGGTGAGGTGGCGGTCAAGTGATTTTCAGTCGGGGGAATAACAGGGGGCGGGGAGGAAGCGTTCGCAGCCGCAGCCACTTGGCCCTCAGCGCCCACGGCAAGGTCAGCCAGGTGCTGGAGAGAACGCTGCTCATTCGGACCCAGGACTGGAGGAGCTGCAGGGCCGCTCTTGACGCCGCCGCCAATGGTTGAGTCTTGAAACTGGCTCTCCTGTGCTTTGGTGCGTCGCCATTCAATGAAGGTGCGGATTTTGGTGTCCCAGGCTGGGGTGTAGAAGATGTCGCCAAATTCGCCTGATTCCGCGGCCCGCTTAGCGCGGTGATCAAGAATTTCCTCGACCTTCTTGATTGAGTCCCAGCACTCGTTGGCATATTCCGGGAGGACCGTGGCCTCGAGCAGGGTCATACTTGCCAGAGCCAGACTGTGGATATCGAATGGAGACGTGAGACGGTATTGTGAGCTGGCTCTGTGCAATTCATTGACAACCTCTTCGGCGGCGTAGATGATCTCGTAGGGCGTGTAGATAAAGATATGGCGCTTGATCAACAATCGCAAGGTCCAGTACAGCTGATTTTGCAAGCTGTCGAGGAAGCTGGAGGGTGCTCCGTCCTCTACGTTCTCGGAAGGTCGCCGATAATCTCCAACCTCTGCGGCCTCCCCAAGTAGCTCTAGGCGCGCAGCCATGCTATTAGCAACTAACCGGCCAGGGCCGGTGTTCGACTGGCAAAGATTCTGCTCTTCTGTCACCAGGTTTGCCAATTCGACGAGGAAGGTAGAATACGCTAAGCAGGCTTGTGGTTAGTCCACGTTATCAAATGATGGAATGTTGCAGTGTGGTACATACAGCAAACTCTGGCAGTAACTGAGCCAAGAATTCGTTCGTCGCCACGGTTACGAACGTCAAGCGTGTTCAAAACACTTGGGTCAGCCACACTAATAGCATACCACCGCGCCATTATCGCCAAGGACACCCAGCTGCGTCGGGCAAGAGATGATTCAGAGTCAACGTCAGGATCTGTAACCCGCTGAGACTTCCACAGATGAAGACCTTTAACCAAATCCGAACCGAGCTTGGTTGCTGACTGGATGAGAGTATGTTTGGGCACACCGTCTTTCATAACCATGTTGTCCGGTCCACGGGCATCGCAGTCGAGGATCATGAGTAGTATGCTCTGGAGCCAGATGAGGTTGACTGTGGTTGACCGCGTGATGGCTGGCTGGCGCGTGTAGTATAGAAGCAGATCCTGTGCGTTTTCGTAGGAGGTGACTCTCTCAAAAGAGCCGCTAAGGCGCTCCAAGTTGGCGCGCGTCACAGTGTAAAGGCTGTACAGAAAGATTTCTTGCAGCTCACGGCCACAACGGTGAAGAATCTCAAGAAAGCGCTCTTTTGAGTTTGGCAGGATTGGGAATACGGGGTGTATCCTTTGATAATAGCTACTGGAGTTTAGCACGTGGCCGTGTAGACCGGGTGCATACAGCACTCTCGGAGAAGCTGTGGGCAAGGGCACTTACGCGTTCAGAGCACCTTCATCCACATCCACGGGAGTCATATCTTCGTCCATTGCTTGCTTCGGGACATCAGGGATGTCGAGGCTGTGGGGTAAGTCATTTTCGTTGCCAGTTGCCCAAAACAGATTCCCGGGTTTAGGTGCTGTGTTGTTGACCACGGAAGGATGGCATGGGTCGGTCGAACTTTCTCCTGCGTCTAGGTATAATTAGATAGATGACATGATGATTATGTTGAGGTAAACCAACCAAAAGCTGTCTGGGGGCGTGTATTGAACGATGGTTGCGTGAACGAGGCACTCGGAAGCCCGTCAAACATGGAATACGTCCTTTTGCGACCGATGGGACCGTTGTCAATTGGAGGCGAAAAATCCTGGTATGCCCGAGGGGAGGAGACTTCGTTCATCGGCTGATACGGCATGTCGGGATGCACCATAGCAGGTTGCATTTGACTCTCCAATGTGTGTAAGCGCTCCGCCAATTCTTTGATGTAGCTATCACTCCGCATCAGCGAGACCCTTTTTAAAACCCGACGCGCGCAACCATTCTTACCCTTTGCTTGGACCTCGTTTCATTGGGACTCGGCTGAACTGGCAAACAACTCCAAGGCGACGACAGTTGGAGCATGTTTCGACGCCAGACTCGGAGCTCGCATCGCAGCGGACCTAATTGAGAGGTACTGTCAGTTCGGCGGCACCGCGTCGCGCGTGGCGAGCAGGGGAAGTCGGGAATTCGCGTTACCTTCTTGCGCCGACATTCATCGCATGCGCGAGAGATCTTCGATCTCTTCCTCCTCGCGCTCTGGTCTCCGTAGCTTAGATCGTGGTTCGGATCGACACCAACTTGTTGGCTTGGCGTAAATTGGAGCATGTGCTGTTGTTGATGCTGATCTGGGGATGCAGGCCGACCCATGTCAGGACCACCGGGATTGGAGGAACCAAGGACCATTGATTGACCGTGGTGAACTCCATTATTTGAACCGTCAGCAAGACCAGGGCCAGAGGTTTCGCGGGATAGCTCGGCGGACAAAAGTTCGTCGGCAGTCAACTGTCGGTTGGTGTAGTATTGCATGGCGCCCTGGCTCATCTGCGCCGCGTTGGGGGATGGATAGGAGTGGGCCGGAGGCATATCAGGATGCTCGCGGGAGTTCATCTTGGCTATGAGGATGATAACTATGGGGAAATGATATGGTGGATGGTGGAGCGATGCTCCGGTTTGATGGAGGAGAGAGAGTGTTGAAGGACGGAAGACGCGAGAACAGCAGGCAAGGTTTTACAGGCTAAACTTGCCTGGGCGGGGAGATTTTTGAAGGGGTTAGCGCCGAATGCCGTCGGCGACGAGCAGGACACGACGAACATTATTTCGCGACCAAATTACAAGATGGGTACATTATCATCGAGTCTGATGCAGACTCGGGGAGGTGGAATTTGAGGATATAGTTTCATACTGGGATGATCGCGCCGACGCGGAGGGCCGGCTTTTTGTTTCTGCGTCCGTCCAGCGAGCGAACGGATTAATACTATTTCCCACCGGCCCAGAACTCTTCGACCATCAGATATTCTTGCTTGGGAAGAATCCTTCGATTGGGTCTGAATGGGTCTGAATGGATGGCTTCAGGGCTTCTCGGATGTCGGTGGGCTAGTTCGATCTTTGCCTTGACTATTAGCGATACGAAGTCATACAAAGCCATTTGAAGCTTTTCTGCCTGAAGATCTGAACCTCGCTAATGTTCGAACTCGTGATTCAAAAGCCTTCATTTCTACCACTCCTTTACCCTTGAGGCTGGCTGAATGGATATTCTCTATAACATGCAAGCACTGGTTGATTGACTTACACGTAGTTCAATGAGGACACCTCGTCTCGCCTTCGAGGACGAAAATGAGATATAGACTTTGTATGACTTCATCTCACGTGTACATATGCGCTACAACCATATTAACCATCCCCCTTTACTTTGCAGTTCTCTTCACAAGATGCTCTAGTCAAGCTTAAACATGTGCTTAAGGTAATAAGAATCGCCTCATTGATGATCGAATGGCCTGCATGCGTCATCTGTGGTC